AAACAGTTTTCAATACACTTTGGTCCTATCCATTCTCCTGCTTAATTTGGAATATGTTCAAAATCATAGGTGCTAGACAAAGTTATGTGGAGCGGAATTTGAAGTGAGTTTTCACCTACAGCACTGGATATTAGTAAAACATCTGTTTTTCTGGTAAAACAAAAAGGTACACTTGCTAAGTGGATGCATCCATTCCTTTAATTTTATGTGAACTGCATTTGAAAATGTTTGTGGTGGGTTTTGAAAGTATTTGTGATCCTGTGTTTAAGTAAAGGAAAACAGGTTCTTATCCAATATATAAACAATCTTTTTATTTAATGAATTCTGTTTGATCTATTAAAGCATAATTGTTGTGAGGATAAAGCCTTTGAGGGAAGATTAATATATATTTAGATCATTACAAAATGATATTCTTTCTCTTATTTATACATAGCTTGAAAATAAAATCATAGAAAGAAGTGAGTAATACTGCTCTGAAAGCTTTTACTTTAAAAAAAAAAAACTCAAAACTTTCCTTTGAAGCCTAAAGTAGAGATTATACTGCATACTAAAAGATCTTTTGGTCACAGAGGTCATACTTTTGAATAGGTGACTGTGCTGAAAATATAATTCTGTTTACTGGGAACAGTTTTAAAGCCACAGAAGATCAGTAGGAAAGGGACTGAGCTGATATACACATATTCATCTCATATCTGAGTTGATTTTTTTTTTCCAGTGTTTGTTTATTTGGCTGTATTTTAGCTATGCCATGTTGCAAGAGGCCACAATATAAGTTATAAGAATGTCTGCAGTAAGAAATACCATTTGCTAGAGGCATGGTTTATTTTCACGTTTTCAGGATTTGTTTGTGGGGTTGTTTGTTGTTTTTTTTTTAGACATTAATAATCAGTATAAACTTAAAGTAAAGCTCAGTTAGAATAATGTGGAACTGGAATAGGTAAGATTTTTTTCTTTCTCTCTGTATGCTATAGAGGGGTTCATCACAGAAATGTCTGAATATTAACATTTTTCAGTATTCGTAGTTATTTGTTCATTGGTGTTCTGTGATTTTTCCAAGGATTTTTCAGGATAAACTTTTGGATGATTTCGTTAACTGTAGATTCCAGGAGACTGGAATCTTTGGAGATTTATGATACTCAGATACCTTTATTAGTTAACAGAATTAATTTATCAAGAGCATTTCACAAAGGGAGAAAAAGCCTTCTTTTGGAAAGTTAATTAAACCATACATTCTGTAATGAATGTTCTCTCAGCCTCAATTAAAAGAGGAAATTTTCACACAGTTGTTTAATATTAGGTGATTGTATTCTACTCCAGTAGAATAATAGTGGAATTACTTGACTCTCTAGAAGGACTTTTTTCCCTGTTCCAGCTTTTTTGCTACTAATTTAGAACAAATATAATAGCTAAAGATGCTGTTATTTAATAGGAAGTGGCTTTAACTATTGCAAGTGCTATTTTGCGACATTGTTGCTTTTGTATAAATTTCTGTGTAAGTCTAATCTGCTTAGAAGTGAACTCGTCTACTACCTGTGTATTTCAGCCCAACTATTTTACAATTTGATCAATTCCCACTAATGTGCTTATCCAGAGCAGAGGGTAGTTTTAGTTTTTCAGTGAAAGCATGCAATAAAACTGGGAACTTGGTAGTACAGGCGTGTTTTAGACAGGACAGCTACTTGGTTTCTGTCATCTTTTCTCTTCAGTTGCAGTTACACTGGCAGAGAATATATTGCCAGACGTGACCCAGGGGAACTAAGGATAGACTTTCAGTTCACTGTTCACTTTGTACAGGAAACTAACACAGTTTCAGATTCCCTCTCAAGGCAGACGGCTACACTGTTTTTCGAAAGGTACCAACTCCTTGGCAGGCATTTGCCTGAAGTCAGCACATACTTAAAACAATGGATTTTGTGGACCATAAAGAAGAGCTGACCTGCTGTTAAACTGTGTCAATGTGAAAATTCTGATCGTTAGCATCTATCATTTTGAGACATCTAACATTGCATTTAGACATTAGCAGTAGGTTCTTCTAGAAATAACTCCATGTAAAGGAAACCACCGAAGAATCAATGCAGAGTAATAGGAAATACAATAATTCAAATGTTAGTACTTAAATATGGAAGATTAGCTTCTCAAGACGTACAGGGTTTTGAAGGTGAAGACAGCAAATGCTGTTAAGAAAGAAGATTGTTGGAGGGTTTCAGTAAACCCTCTGAATCAATAAAAATGCTTCTCTATTAGTGATTCTGAAGTATCCTTACGGTAAGATAGTCTAGATTAACCTGGGTGTTGGTTTTTTCAGGTTTGACCTTACAAGGGATTTAATGACCTTTTATAATAAGTTCAGGCTAAGTGAGAGTCCCAACAGGTCAGAGTGTCATTTTGGGATGAAGTGGAAATGTCCTTCTGCAATCCTGACCTCAATTTCAGTACCTCACTATAGTAGTTGAAAAGTTTGTACAGCCTGGATCAGAGACAACCAAAGGAAGCACTGCAGAGGCTTTTAGTCACACCTGCTCGGTGTCATTTACATGCTTCATCAAGCATGGAACCACGTCAAGCCAATAGCTGTGTAAAATTGCTTTTTAAATCTACTGCATCATTTGAGAAACAAGGGATGGATGATCCCTTGCTTGCGCTTGCTGAATGGTCCTTGTTCTGTGAATGAGGAAGGTTTGAACAGGTTGTTTTTTGGTTTTTGGTTGTTTTTTTTTTTTATACGACTGTTGTGAATGTACTAAATAAATGCTTGATAACCAAAACCAACTAATGGATAACACTAAAGACTAGTTTGGGGTAACCAATAGGCATGATCAATATGAACAAATAGCATTGGCTCTGTGGAGCATAGAATATTTGGACCCAAGTGCGCTGCAGTCTATTTAGTGTTTATGCCTCAAGTGGATTAATACAAATGTCCTCCTTGTTTTGGAAGAAGGCTCCAGTTGTGGAAAAAATGTCAAAACCAGTGCCAGCTGCTAGAATTCAGTACAGCACCACTTATATCTTTGAGTTACACATCTGTCTCTTTCCTATGCTTGCAGCAGAACAGGTCTACGCTGCCTTTTATTGAGGCTTAACTGGGGATATCAGTCTAACCATAAAGTTTTCCCCTGATGAGCAGCTAAATATGTGAGCACAGGAGTGCTCACATTCATAACCATACAGTCCAGAAGTACTTGGAGGTAATACATCTTTTGCTTAGAGCAAGAAAGTCAATGATATTAGTCATAAACATAGAGATTATTTTTTTTTTAGTTCAAATTTGAAGATTTTTCCAAACAAGCAATTGTTTTCATCATATGTTTTATACAGCTTTTATCTTAGAGGGGCTTTATATGAACTGGCACAACACTACAATGCTGAAATGGAAAATCCTATGGTAGAATACTTAGTTGTCTAAAGAAAAAAATAATTTTTTATCATGCAGAAATTTCATTGGTCTTGAGTTTGGTTTTTTTTGTATTCAAAGACTTCATAAGGACACTTGTATGCAATAGTATATCCGTATGTAGTATCATCTCTGTTGCATCTTGGTTTGTAACCGTATAAGTATGGAGATAACAATAGGAGTAATATCCCTACTGACTTTTGATGTTAGTGCTGAATAAATGTTTTAGCAAATAGCTTATTTGAAAAAAGGTAAGTTTCAGGTGTACTGTCTTTGAGTATGGGTTGAATTCAGAAAACAGTTTCTATTCTCATTTCTTTCCTCTTCTGAAAAGTGATGGAAAAAAGCGGTAAAAATCAAAGTAAGCCTTTCAAAATGAAGTATTTCAGAATTTGTACAAGCTTTTTGAAATTATTAAGATCACAAAATTTTTAATTCATACAGAAAATTGAAAAATCAAGTATTGCACTTATTTAGGATTTCTCACAAGTACAAAATGATTCGCAAGCAAAAAATCTGCAGGAGCGTGGTTTAACTATGATTATTTGAGCTTGCAGCTTTTATTATATTTAGAAATATCTAAATATCTTAATGATTAAACATTTACAAGTAAATCTCCTGTGAAAGTCAAAACCACTAGGCTTTAGAAAGTATACTGTAGGTGGAGTTGTGCAAGCTTCCTTGTGGAGCTGTGCCAGTACAGGGAATCTGAATCTGAAAAGTCATCTTTATTCAGATACTGGACTCCTCAAGAGCAGGCTTTTGGAGTGGCAAATGAAAATGAGTTTTCAGAACTTATTCCTCTTTGAAAATAAAACTTGTTTCAAATCTAGTGTCTCACAGAGAAAATCCAGCAAGCTTAACTCTGTGTTGTCTGGCATCTCTATACTTGAGAAACAGTTCTCCAACGAAGCGGTAGCATTTTTCACTGTCATGTTCAAGAATTTTCAGATTTTTGTGTCTTCTTTTTAAGATGTTTTCTTAAGTATACAGCTGAGGAGACCAATAACAAAAAGATAAATCCATAGATGATGAAAGGATTTTCCTGAGCTTAGTAGTTAACATAATAGTTTGAAAAGAAAAGAATTTACAAGTACTTGTTCAAATGCACTATGTAGAGAGTGAATAAAATAAACAGCAAGATGTGTTGTGATAGGAACTCAGATGATCAAAGGAAACTTCTGAATACGCATGGTTATTCTTTCAGATAAAATAAGGAAGTAATTCCTTTGAGAGTTTTTGTGATCGTTTCTGTTGGAAAACTTTGTATGCATTACTCAGAAATTCAATGAAGAGAAAAGCAATACAGCCTAGATAATAGTGTCAGCTTTGAGCACGAGGTGGCATGTGGACATAGCTTGAGCTATTTCTCCAAATCATTTGAATGGAAATATTGGATTAGTTAACCTTGTGTCAGGTCTGTTAGTTAAATAAACCCTCCAACTGTTCCTGATTGAAGGATGCATAGTTGTGACTGAAAGATGCTGCTGCTTTTCATTAGAATTTTGTCTAACATATCCTGCTAACATAATGATTTTAAAATAAAATGGTTTATTCGATGGAAAAGGATAACAAGCAGAAAATTCACAGCCTTTTCTTTTCACAGGGTGCTTCAGCCCAGTAGGAAATCCTCTTAGCCGAACACTATTGGGTAGACTACAGACGGTAAGGAATTCTATCTTTGCATTTTTTTAAAATTGATGTTTAACTATAAAATGTCATTATTCACAAATTCTCATTGTAGGGAGGGTTTTTTTTTTATCCTGTCTTTATTCACAAAAGAGGTATCTTCAAGCAAATTGTGTACATTGGCAAATAAGCTTTTGCTGCAGCCAGCTGGTAGTGTGATCAGATATCTGCAAATTAAAAGCTTTGTATGTTTTCATAATTTACTTTTTGTTGTTTAGAAATAAATAAGCTAAAATCACAGTCCTGTGAGTTTGGTTTTTACTAAGAATACAGACATTGATAAGTAGGGAGAGAAAGCCGGGACAATAACTTGAAATTGAATCCTATTCACAGCACCATGTTTTCATTGTTAATTCCACCTTTTTGTAACAAGTGAAATTACAGCTATCCTGTTTATTTAGTTGCTTATCTGTTAAATATTGATTGGAAACTTCTAGTAATGATATTTGTTCCTTTTCTTTATTTCTGGCTTCCTGATCACCGTAATAAAAATCCAGTGGAATCTGTAAATTCCATTAATTCCAACTATACATTTGATAAACCCGGATTAAACACAAAATGTATGGAGGGACTAGTGATGGAGGAACAAGTTATGCTTCTGAATACTGAACGTGTGTGTGGCTCTAGAAGGCTAGGCCTGTAGGACTGGAGGTGTTAATCCTCCTGTACCCATGGACAGAAGGCCATGATTTAATGTTCTGTCTTAATTGCATGCTAATTGTAATTTTTCAGAGAAATGTTAGAAATGGACATAAATTGGATTATTTATTGCTGTTTTACAGTTTGGATCTGGGGTGTTGGTTTGGGTAGGTTTAGGGGTTTTTTAGGACCTACCTTATTTGACAGAATCTGTTAATAGAGTTGCAGAAGACTTGTAAGATACATAGGATTCACCGAGAAATTTTGAAAATATGGTTTTACGTTGCTGTTTTGTTAGTGGCTAAATGGTTCTTGTTTTCACATTTTCGTTTTTTTAACCATCAATATGTAATTTTCAGGGAAAAGTATAAATTGTTCAGTCAGTATTTTAGCATGATCCACAGCAAGCTCTGTAAATATTTACAGGATCAGCTGTTTTGGAAAACACTAAATAGCAGCAAATTTAAAACCTTTTTTTCTGAGAGGGTTAAATTAAGGTTTTGAATATTTTTGTTACTTTTTTCTGTTACACATGCAGTAATATATATGTTAGAAGTGCGAATAAACTGAGTAATTTGTATCAAAGTAGGATATCTACAAATGATGAAATAGTTTAAGAGGTTTTGAATAATTTCAGGAGCTGGAGTATTTCACATGCTTCTGAATTGATCTTTTTTCCCTTTTTTTTGTTTTCTTTTTTTTTTTATCCCTGTAGGCTTAACTGCAGCAGCTGTGTTTGCATTTCTGTTTTCTGTTTGTACATTGAAGGTTTCAATAAAGTGCAGCCTGGTACAGTTTTGTTTTTTTTCCTCTAGGCAGATTATAGATTCCCATGCTCATTAAATATGGAAGGGCTGTAATCAAATAAGGATTGTCTTCATCTGAAGCCTAAGGAAGTAACTTTACAGTGTCTACAGACAGATTAATTAAGACCAAAGAAGAGTACATTATTCTTAGCAATTAATACTTTTAGAATCATTTTAATTTAGCTATTAATACTGTCCTTGTACTTCTGTTTCCCGTAGACTAAATTTGGACAGTTAGGTGTCCTGAGCTAGGAGTGTGTTGGCAATTAATTGGACCAGAGAACAAGAACAGAAATACAACACTGCTAACAATATTCAATTATTTTATGCTAAGTGTCAGCTTATTTAGTGTTTCATTTAAAACTTCAGTTACTGGGGTAAAGAGATTGCATGACATTCTTAGGGAAGAAGAGGATTAAGTAAATTTCTGACCCTCGGGTTCATAAGGAAAAATGAAAACAATGGAGCAACTGTAAAAGCTCAGATTGATTCTGTAAAAATTTTACATGTTTTAAATATTACCTCACTTTTAAGCTAGTCGTGGCTTTTTGAGCACTTTGAGTTCATTTCTTATTTTGTCTCCTTTAAAAAAAAAAAAACCAACCACCAAAACACCATAAAACAACAACAACAAAAAACCCTAAAAGCTAACAGTCTCAGAAGCTAAGCTATTACACATTGAGGCACAGACTTAATGAACAGACAAAAAAAAGCTTTAACACTCATTCCCTGTGTCTTTACTGGAGTGTTTGCACAAGTAACACTCCCAGTTTCTCTCCCAGTTTCTGGTAGATAGCAGGTGTAGGCAGGTGGAGTGGAGAGAAGCGTAGTACTGTGCAGCATCCAAGAAATAGATGTTTGTCCTTCTTCATGTCACCAAGACTGTCATTCTAACGGGAAAAGAAGAGTGGGTGGCTTTAGTCCTGTATGCACACATTGGAGTTCACCCCAGCATGTGTAGTGTCTGCCTGAGATTAATCTTAAAAAAGATTATTTTCCAAGTGTAGTTATCAAGAGTTAATAACTAATTAGAAGTGGGACTTTATGTTTATTCTGTTACAATGAAGAATGTGTTTACATATAAGGCAGAAGCATATGAAACCACTAGTAGACTTTACATTTTTCTGTATTTTTTCTTTGAACTTTGGTATTGTGGTATTTGAAATATATTTGTTCAGTAGTAGAAATGAAATATGTTAGAAATGTCAAGGCTATCTAGGTTGGTTAGTTGTGGATAACCAGTGTGATGTTTCATGGTCTAGAACTCTGCCTCAACTGCTGGATCTATTTATCTTCTTCTAAGGGTGTACCTTACGCTGAACGCTCCTAACAGCTTTGTTCAACCAAAGTCCGTGTGACACGGCGGGCTTTTTCAGCAAGCATGTTGTTCCTGTTTCTCACAGATGGTCTGCCTCCCAAAGAGACTAACTCCTCAGAACATAACCATAGCCCCATGTCTGTTCTGATTCAAGGAAAGGATTAACTAAAAAATTAATTAAAAAAAGGAGACGTTAATATTGTCTTAAGAACGATGTATTCCTACACTTCAGTATGTCTGTTGCTTTTTTGGAATCCTGAAAATGTGGCTTAATCTTGTGACACAACATAAAAAAAAAAGATGTTTCTTAACTGAGAGGCCAGTAGTTTTTGCTGGGTGTTACTTGCAGCGTAGCTGGTATTTGGCACTATTTGAGAAATGGCGTGGCACGCCAGCGCAGCTCTGCTGCCTCGCAGTAACTACGTTTGTGGTAGGCAGCCGTGGCAATTCCCCTGCCCCACTGCAGGCTGGGGGTGTGTGCAGCCCAAGACATACTGGGTGTATGTCTTTAAGAGGAAACTCTTTGGATTGTTGTTGCCTTAAAAGTTTAACTTGGTGTCTGAGAACGTTCAACATAGTCTCAGGATGACTCATGGATTTTTAGCTTGTTATTTCCAAACAGCTCCCTCTCTTCAAGCTCTTCTTAGGTTGAGTGTTTGAGAGCGCATAAATACTTTATTAAAAAGAGAGAGAGAGAGATTGAGACACAATAATGGGGCAATATGAGTACCTGAACTAGATACCTAAATAATACTGCTAATAATGCTGATGAATCATTTTTGAGCAACAGGAGGCACTCCCATCCCACAGGCTAAGCACATTGCCTGCACAATTCTATTAACCTTGAGAATGGAAAATGAGAATTAGCTAAAACCTGTAAGACAGTGTGAACTACCAGTAGACCACTGAACAAGCCACGTCCTCTGAACTGCAGCTCCACCAGTCTTTGTTCAAAATTTGTTTATCAAATCAAGCAGTTACACTTCCCCCCCCCACTGTGTGTGTACATAGTTATTCAGAACTCTTTAGGCTTAGATGTTCTGGTAGGTGATAAGAACGGAGTGCAACTGTTACTTCTATACTGTGTTCATCTCTATGTACTGCATCTGTCTGTAACTACTGTGGAAATACCGAAACAAGTTGGGCAGTAGCTGGAACCTCTGTGTTCAGGGTAGTTTGTGATTTCTTTCCTGTATGGGATAAGCCTAGCTAAGTTTGGAAAACAACGTTGAGGGCAAGAATCTCAGTTCTAGAGAATGCCGTTTATTCTGCTGAGCATTGCAGTAGCAATATTCCTTGGACCACCGTAATGAAAAAGAAGAAAACAAAACCCAACAAAAAAACAAACAAACAAACAAAACAAAATAAAAGGAGCTGTAGATTCTAGCTCTATGTTTTAAAAAAGCGGGGGAAGAGAAAGAAGTTCATGCAGAAGGAGGGGCTGTAAAATATGAAAAGGTGAAGTATTGGATAGAAATTCTCAAATTTAAATGTTGTTTATAATGTGATACAATGTGTTATGGATGGAAATGTTGTTTATTTGACAGAGCTCACATTTGATTCTTTTCTAAAATATTTTCATTGCTGTGTAATATTTCTATTTTGTATTGTTGTTTGTATCCTTTGACGCACACAAAATCTAGGAGAAGCTGGTTTCCCCTTTGTGAAAACAGGCTATTGGAAAAAATTAAGTAACACCAGCAAAGGACTTCCATCTCTTACTTTGTTCTAATTTGTTGTTCTTCTGCTATTTTTCTGTTTTAAATCTTCTTTCCACTGAAGAATTCTTTTGTTTGACAAAAATCAAATGTTGTAGGTACAGGCACACCTTAATTATTGCATTATATCTCTGCTAGTCCTTTGACTTTGTTGGAAGTCTGAAGAGTAAGTGGTAAAGATAGAACAGTTAGAATTAAATGGAAAATATTGGTTATTAAGACCAACCTGAAATTCTCCATTATATGAAAGTGTCATCTTTTGCATGCTGGTTCAGCGGTAAAGTTCACTGCAACAACTTCCTAAGCATCTACTGTAGTGTTTGCAATGCAAACAAGCTTAGACCTCGTTTTCATCAGTCCTCTGTCTTCCCCCACGTTGTCCTTAGTGCAGCATACATACTTGAAAAACTTAGTATCTTTTTCTAAATATCTACATAGCCAATATTACTCAGTGTTGCTTAACAGCACTTCTGCTTTTTCTTTTTTTAAAAAAACATTTTATTACAGATAATTCTTACTGGTTTACAGTAGACATGAATACTCAGAATGATAGTTTATCAAAATGCTTCATATTAAAGTTTTTAAATAACAACTTCTAGAGTGATGACTGCCTGACTGCACTGGGGGTGAGAGGAGGAAGCAGTTGTCCACTCGGACAAGAGACAGTAAGTATTATGTAATTTTTTGCAGTATGTTCTATACCTGTTACAGTGTATCTGTGCTTTTGAAAGCACTTATTTTTTTTTAGCGTGATCCCAAGGATGTTTTTTGCTACCCTAGATTTTGTAATTTCACAAGCATGTTCATAACTGGCATAACCACACTACTGCTGTTCTTATATCACTCTTGAAAAATAATTCTATAACACATTGAATATAGATTGGGAGGTTTTGCTTGAACTTGGACCCAGACAGAACTTGACACCTGTCTGAATGTCACACTGGAAGAAATTCCATTGCTTTGGACGTAATTCTGAGTGTTTTACATTCTTCTTTGGTCCTGAGGTGCATTTCTTGTATCCCCTTAGGGTCATTTTCTGATCATATGTCTCCAGAGAATGTAATGGCAATTTCCACGTTTCATTTAAATTTTCAGGCTTGCTAAACCAGTTGTATTACAGGACACATTGGTATTTTAATTTTTTATTTCTGGGAGACAGACAGCGGGACTTGCTTGATTGGTTTGAACTGTCTATTGGCAGTGTTTTCATGTTACTGAATTTTTTAAATTTTTTCCGAAAACTAAAACATTTACACTAGAACTATCTTACAAAAGACACTGCAAAAGGAAGTATTTGTTGCTCTGCCTTTCATTGTTTTTCCTGCTACCAAGTAATTAGCATTACATTTCTTTTTTTTTTTTTTTTTTTTTTTTTTTTTTTTTTAACCTTAAGTGACCTCATGATTTTCATAGGTCTGTTACTAAGGAAGCCATTGTCACTTAACTGGACACTGTTAGAGCACCCCTTACTGGACATGATTGTGTGAGCTTCCAGTTCTGTACTGTTTCTCTATGGTGCTCATTAATGTGTTTGAGTTTAGTTCTGTTCTATAGTTCATATTTCTATATTGTCAACATCACCTGTAATTACTGTATTAGCTTTCCTAATGCAGAGAGGAGAGTTTTTATGAAGGATATTTCCTTGTTTAGCTTTTTTAGGGAAGTTCAGGATTACTGAATGCATATTTGGATAAGTCTACTGAGAACTATGCTGATAGTAAGACTTTGATGCTGACCAGCTTACAGATTACCACATAGAATTTACAATGGTAGAATCATTTCCATCTTTTCCCATTCATAACTGAGTTAATCTCTTTAATTGATGACATGGAATTACAAAAATCCAAGTGATATTGGCTATATTTTTACACACATAACTCACAGGTGATCTTACTGAAAACAGAAATACAAATATAAAAAGCACTGCACAGTTCAGCAGTCTTAGGATTTAAATGCATGCATGAGTAATAAAAAAGGAAGTTTTTTCTCCAAATCGCTGTCTTCATAATAACTTCGCTGTCTCCTTCGGTCCCCTATAACCTCCTATCACTCCTAACGATCCCTGTTTATGACCTCTTCACTTATAATTTCATAGAGGAATCTGAGGTAAAGATTATATGTTGGGAAGCAGTCTTTCTTGTGTAAAATAGGTCATAATTTTGCTCTTCACTTATAATGAGGGAAGTGAGCAATTCCCCTGTTCTTTCAGTTCACTTGTTTTCAGTCTTTTCTGCTCAGAATTCATCAGGACAGATTTTTGTTTATAGGGCATAGGAAATGAATAAGAAATTATACTTGATGTTTTCATATTCAGGGTAGAAAGCAGACTTCTGGTATCATATTCTGTGTAGTATGCATAGTTCTGACCACTATTAGTACTTTTTTCCGGAAAATTATAGATGCACTATATTTCACTGGCAAATGGATTCATTATGTGAAATGAAATATAAACGTATTTTTGGCAGATATTTATAAAATTGTATATGCAAATCCTTATTTCTAAACCAAAAGAAAAAGTGGAGTGATCAAAGCAAAACTTTGCAGTGATATTTTGTACTAAATTTTTCCTTCTGTGAAACTGTCATACTGTTGAAGTATTTATTCGAACACATATGCACACACAGAATGGGATCTGAAGGTGGTGTAACAATTCTGAGAAAGCGAATGTATGAAGTGGGTTTTTTTTTTCCTTTTGCTTCACAAGTAAATTGCTTATAGAACTAACAGCTGCTGTTTTGAAGCTAATCTTAGTGAATTGAATGTTCTTAACCATTTCTACAATCCCACAGTCCTTTATCTTGCCTCTCCTGCTGCTTTCCCACCACCCCTGATCCCATTAGCAAAACTTGAGACAGCCTCAGCTTTTACCAAAGTGCAGCTTTGGTTTCAGCTGCTTTTCTGCAAGAGGAAGTGAATGTTGCGCTTTTTTCTCTGTGGCATGGTTGTGATAAAGCTGTGGTGCTCTTATCTCTCTTTTAGGTAGTGGCTCTTTATGACTACACAGCGCATCGATCAGATGAGCTAACCATCCATCGCAGTGACATTATCCAAGTGTTATACAAAGATAATGATAACTGGTGGTTTGGCAGCCTAGCAAATGGACAGCAAGGCTATTTTCCAGCTAATTATGTGGCTGGTGAAAGTAAGTTTACTGCTGTCTTCCTGATATACCGGAGTGGGTTTAACTGATGGTCCAAGATTTTACCATGCTGTACTGCTTATTGTTCTGAAGATACGAATTTATCTATCACACAGATGGTTTAATGATGACTTATTGTGATGCAGAAATCGTATAAAGTTAGCTAACCAATTAGCACGTTGACATATCTGGCTTAGGAGGGCATTGGCACTTAGTTAAAGGTTCCAGCTTATGTAGTACTGGCTTAATTGTCAATCACTGGGTTGATTCCTCGTCTCACATACAGCCACCTGGTTCATGCCTTACCTTGGCAATGTTTTTGGACACATCAAAGCATTTTAGCTTTTCTTTTTTTAAGCAATCTTTGTTAGATCTGACCAGTTACTTTTGTAAAAACTCTTGATTTTCACCCTACTCTAATGGGCAATGCTCAGTTCCTAAATAAGTGGATTTCAGTATGAAGTTTTAGAAGAAGAGTAATGGTTAAGTCTGATATCTGAGCATTGAACTTGCTGCCAGGTTCTTCTCATTAAAACAGTTTCGGTTAAAGTAATACAGAAAAACCTAAATGAATCTGAATAAATAATATAGGAAGCTTCCTACTGGGTCAGCTGATGTAAAGATGCTCAGTGTCCTGACAGTCGTTAGTATTTAGCTTATGGACAGAGCGCGTGGTTGCATGCTACAAGAAATTAATTTGCCTTCCTAAACTGTCAAACTATCAGTTATACTGGTGTTTAGAAATCTTTTAACCCAACATTTCTAAAGATGTTTTCCCCCATTTTCTAGTTCCTCCCTCTGTCTTTCAAGTGAAGTCTAGTATTTATGCCTCTTTCCTAAAAAAGCTTGGACATAAGTGTGCTAACTTGAGTATGGTAATTAAAAGTTAGCTTAACTACTGCCCTTCCCCTTTGTCCTCCCCTTGCACATCCTGTGCATTTTCTCCTTCCTTTCTTCCTTGCAAAATAAGCCCGAGAGCAGTCTGTAGGAAGTCTTCAGTGATGGCCTGTTGCTCTTAAAAAAAAAAACAAAACACAAAACAAAAACAAAAACAAACAACAAAAAAAACCCAAAACAAAACAAACAACAAAAAAACCCCACAACAAACCAACCACCCCAAACAAACACAAAAAACCCCGAACACTTTTGAGGCAGTTGTCCAACTGTGCAAAAAAATCCTGGTATATAACTTGTTATTTCAGTTGGTTACAATCTTATTATTGAATCAAAAGAAATGCATAGATACATTTGTTAAGTATCGGTTGCATTGCTGTCAGTATGGACTTTGTTCTTAGTCAGATAAAATAAAAACAATCACACATTTATATAATTACCTATATACAAATTACATTTAAATCTAAGTTTACTAATATAAATAAAAGTTAATGGGCAACTTTTGATAAATTCTCATACAAAGGTTGGCTGCAAACAGTTTTCACCTGTTCCAGTTCTGTCGTGGTTATTGGCTAGATCGTAATGTCATGGTTATTCACAGAAAATAGATACTTCCATAATTCTTTCATGGCTCTCATAATGCTAAATTATGGATCTTGTTTTCAGAAGAATATGAAGAACAACCTTCAGGATTAGTACCAGATTCTGCTCCTCTCCTCCCTGAAGGACCAACAGAAGTAGAGGAAGGTTCTCCAACACTACATAAGGTAATAATTTGAGGAGGATGGATTCTTTAAGTAGTGGTAGAGTATGTCTTTTGTGTGCCAGGTGGACTGCATGCATTTTTGACACTTTTTGGAAAAATTTCTTATGTGTAGACCTCTTTCCAGGCAAGCAGGTAGATTTTCAGCAGATGTCTAACATTTGTCTCGTGTGAAACCAGCTCTTCATCATGTGGCAATTAAATATTCTGCCTACTTTTACATGATTGTAATGAGTGGCAAATCTCCTATTGACTCCAGGGTTTACAGAAGTATCTGTCACAGCTTCCTGGTGTAAATAATGGTTGAAGAAACAACACAGGTTTGTCAAAACCTGACATAGTTTCAGGCACTTAACTGTCATTCTTGGAATACACACTGCCCACAGGTTCTTCAAATTTCCTGCCTTGAAATTTCCTTATTTATCAGGTTGCTTACGAAAAAACTGTGATGTTTTTCTCGAGAGTTTTTCAGTCCATATAATAATATCCTAGTTAAAGATATACTATGTGATCATAAAGCCTTATTGCCAGACCAGGAGATACGCTGCATCTAAATGTGCTTACTTGTTAATGGATGTTTCTGTTTAAACATGTGAATGACTGCACCCATCCTGTAGGTTGCCCAAGAGGCTGGACTATAGAGGCTTCATAGTTTGGAAGAGGAAAGAGGGGCTTTTGTCTTGACTATACTACCTCTCCACTCCCACCGTACACTTATATTGGGTTGCAATTGCATATGGCATTATGTTGTTGTTTACACATCATATACTATATTGTATGCAGAAGTGTTCCTGTTTCTGTGATTTTAGTTAGCAGTCAGAATACAGAGTGTACAGAAAAACAAAGAAAGAGCGGCCAGTTTTTAGTCGAGGAAAAAAATAGGGGGTTGATTTTTATTTTATTTTTTTCAGATCTTTAGAAATACTGCTGTGTGCAAAGCAGCCCAAAAGACTCTCACTTCTCCAGACAGAGATTAGAAACTTTACATAGCTTATGTTCCCCTTCTGTGAAATAAGACTGATGGTTGTCTTAAAACATGGGATACTTTGTAAGCAAAAAAAAGTAACAGACATTAATTCAGTAACTGTTAGAATGTAAGAATTTTTTTATTCCAAAGTGTTTGTATCTTCTTAAGTGCGCTTTCCATAGCTATTCGTTTAGTCAAATGCTACTAGCATAACTACTTTAAAGTGACTTTTGTTCAGATTTCTTTCAAATGACTTGACTTTTCCATGTACTTTTCTAAAATTGAATCTAATATTTTGCGTCTGATTTGCAAGACTTAAAATGTATGCTGTGTCGCTTAGTTACAGGATTTTTTTCTTTCAGGTCATTTATCTAAACTTCGCTGGATAAAATATATTACAGTGTTCAAGGTTAAAACACTCAAAGCTACTTCTATTAACCTTTTTTTGTGTGACTTTTGTTTTTAATAGATGAATAGAGCGAGGTAGCATTTAATAAATTATTGAGTACGGATTACTCACTTGGCAGTGTTGTTGAAGCCAGCTGTCTTGTTGAAGCCAACTGCTATAAATTGAATTACTAAGTGTTTTGTAACTATAACTAACTATACTTGAAAAACGGAATTAATCACTTCACCAAGTAGTAATAATTAATCTGAAGTATCTTTTACGTCTTTGTAGCTGAGAAACTCATAGCCAAGCCATTGTCCAAGAAAGACAAGGGTGCATTACTTCCAGATACTCCTGTAAAGGCCGACTGGAACGGATATAGGAAAAATTACTACATTACTGGAAAGCGTGAAGATTTCTTTCATCTGTTGTCTATGTTGCTGGTGGCAAGGAAGGTATCCCAGGGGGAATAGGTTGCTATACTCACCCAGTTTCACTCGTATCCAGATTATAAAAGGGAGAAGTACTGAGATACTTACTGTCATTAAAGACTTGATGATTTTTATCCACATCTTCTTTTCTGTTTTAATCTAGTAGGTGTCTAGTTGATTTACTGGATCAAAATACTTTTACGTGCACTCACTAATGTTACTATCACTTACGAGTATTTATTATTCAACTTTGCATGAAGTAACTTTTTTTTGTCTACGACTGACATATTTTTCTAACAATAGCTTTTATATTACTAGTAGCACCTTTTTAGTCACCCTCAGTAACATTTCATTGAAGTGTTCTTTACTTTGATTCTCCTGGCACTTTGAATTTCATTGCATATTTAATAATTAGTTGGCATTTTGTAGTAATCTATATAGTACATACAGATATTCAAAAGACATCATGAATAAAGTGTACAGTAGCAATCCAAAACCAAGCGAGTATGTTTGTTTTTATCTTGCACAGCATTCAAGGGCACTGCAAAATCATATAGTCCAGAGAAAAGTAAGGAAACATTTAAAAGCCCTGGAAAAAAGGGTATAAGAGAGTACGCTTACAAGATTAAACTAGCAAAGAATGAGCAGGGAAGAGAGTGTATAAAACAGTACATGATAGAGAGGTGAATAGGATGCACTCTTTTTTTTTTGCTTCTGCTGTTAAACAAGGTCAGGGAACATTAAGCTGGAATGGAACACATCTAATATTGGTAGGAGGAAATTTTGTTTACCCCATGCTTAGTTAACCTGGTGAACCTAGCTACTACAAGACTGTTAAACTCAGGTGCTCAGGGATTCATTTTTTTAATATCATGTTTTAGGCTGAGGCAATGGCTGAGATGCTAAAGGCATCTAAATGACTGGAAAACACAAATCTGGCTGATTTTTCTATTTATTTTATTTTATTTCAAGCTACGTAAGCACTGTATAAATCACCAAGAAGATAGTGAGCTGAATCAAATGATGAATCAAATCTCTGTGTAAGACTTGTGATGCAGTGGTTTTACAAAAGTTGCAGAGTGCTACATAGAAGAAACAAATTGTCATTCAGCTGTTTGTCATAATGAAGAAAAGTTCTGCAGCGCTTTGACTTTAGGCAATACCAGATACTTCTGAGACAAAACTGCTAAGACGACCACTGAGGGGGCTGATCGGTTATGGCAGTTCCTGTGTTGCAGCAGTGACACAGCAACTTTTCTTCCTATTCCTTTCTTTTTTTTTTTTTTCTTAGTATTGAAGCTGATGAAAGTAAATGCCAATTTCTTTTACATGGGAAATATTAAAAAACATTATTTTTAATACCCTATGATTTTTTTTGCTTTGACAGAAAATGAAGTATTTTTTTAAATCCAGAAATATTTATCGAGCAATTAAGTTGTTGCTTAAGTTGTTACCACAAGCAGGAAGATATAACTGAATTTTTTTATTTGTTTGGGTTTTGGACACAAGCATGTTTTCCCAAATACTTAGTTGTATCCAGGTCTGCTATAACTGTTGTCTTTTCTGGGGTTTTTTTGAGGAATACTTAAATATTTAGCTTTGTTAAGACAGCAAAAACACAGTGTGAAAATCATCATGGCAGTTACTCGTGAGATTTTGCTACCCTACGAGACTAAATAGGGCATTTAAAATGTAGAAGAATGCTCTGGTTTTAATTACTGAGAATACCAGATAGCCTAATTAAAAATAGTTTTCCAACTGCAGGTATTATAAATGCATATCTAGCTAATCTACAAAGTTTTATGATGAGTGAATAAAATGGAATCAACATTAGAAGAGGGTGTAATACTCAAGATCCAATATTAATCTTTGCAAATAATAAAAAAAAGTTGTAGTTCAAAGAACCTGCTTTCAAAATGCTTTCTACCATCAGCTTTGCATTCATAACATAATAATTTTATGCAAACATTGTTTTCCTGCCTTATGAGTTACTTAACTCCTGAGCCACAAAATTAGGTCATAATCATCTTTAATTACAACATACATCCAAACTGCCAATAGAAATTTCATGGAGTGAAGTTCTCACTGCACTGATGAAGAATCCCAAGAAATAGAGATTGACTTTTCATCTGGCTGCACCACTAAATATGCTGTTTTCAGGTTGCTTAAGCTGATGGCAGAAAAGACAGGAATTCAGATAGGGTTCTGTGAGAAACCAAAATTCGGGGTTTGCAAAATTTTGGTGAATCAGAGACATTTCAAAGTCAGTAAAGTGTCTTTTTTTTTGCTCAGAAATGTTCTTCTCTATAAAATCTTGTGAATATGTTTTAGAATTTAAGATGGCCTACCACTCAGTATATAAAATGCACTGAATGTTAAGTACTCAGTTCTACATTGTGTGAGAATAGTGGGAAGTAGTAGAGAAAAATAAAACAGTAATTTAAAATGTCCATTAAAAGTGTAAGAAAATATTCTTTCTAGTATCTTTATCTTTGAAAAATCATGCTAAGATGTAAAATGATAATCATAAGCATGGAAAGAAAAGGGTTACCTTCAAGAACACCATTATTATTGCACAATCTACCCAGAGATCATCAAAACTTGATTCCATGTATATTTAAACAAAGTTTGGGATTATCACTGTTCACATAAATAATTCATGTTCTCACTCATCTTCCCCTAGAGTAGGTTGTTGTCAGACTTTCTGAACACTTAGCCTAGCATGTCTGAAACTAACGTGCCAAGCAATTGATACTTTTCCCCTGGGCTTGAGCTCTTTCGATGTGGGTGTTTTTGTGGGCTCAAAATTTATTTATTGAATCTAAAAATTTAAAAAACATAGAAAACTTGCTTAAAAATATTCCCAAAAATACTAGCTAGATTTTTTTTTTTATTAGTTTCTTCAAAAATTTTCATTTTATAATTTGTGCCCTTTCTGTTTTCTCCTTTAATGGTGCCTTTCTTCAGGGTACTGGGGAACACTTCAGTAACTGATTATCTTTTAGGAAGAGGAGGGACTAGGAAGATGTGATAATATTAGTGAAGGAAACATTAAGGAATTAATACAATGGAACTCTTGCAGTGAACAGAGCTGGAGACTTTCAACATGTC